TTCTGTTGGATGTACGCAAGAACCCACAGCGATTCTGAGAGTTACTCCGCACCAGCGATATAACGACGACTTTGGCCTCTTCACCTTGGAAATTGTCTATGGTCGCTACCCTCAAAGTCTGCAGCAAAGTAGCTCTCGCGGCGGTCTTGACAACAGTTTCACCAGCTTCAAAGCCAGCACTCTCGAGCTGATCGGCATCTCGTTCTCCAAGTGTGACGGTGAAGTGTTGCGAGAACAGCTGACGTAGTCGATGGAGTTGACCCAGGTATGGAGTAATGACAGCAATATCGCCGCTATGGTATTTGCCCTGTCGCACGAGATGGTTGACCACAGCCATTGTCATCTGAATTTCGTACTCGTTCCAGTGCGAGGTCGCCAGCAGACTCGTATTGGCTGCGTCCGCCTCCGGCTCGCGATGATCCAGCCAGAACAGTCTCCGGCGCATACCCACAACTTCAGGATAGCTTGACACTGATTCTGCGTCTTCTATCTGAGGATATAGAGTATTCCGAACTAGTTGGGCGATGGAAGGGTGCATCCTGCGTTGCGTTTCGAGTGTACTGAACGGAAGACCCAGACCCATGGCACTCTGCGATTCCACAAGTCGCTCAAACAACGAAACGTCCAGAGAGTACTTTTCGCCACCTCTAGGATTCTCGCGCGAGAGCTCGTAATTCTGAACCTGTGGACGGAGTTGTAGGTGATCACCAATAAGGATGGCGTGTTCGACCGAGGGCAACAGAGCTGTGAGAAGGTGTGCTTCCAGAACCTCGCCGGCTTCTTCACACATCACGACTTTGGATTGTAGCTTTCGCAGCATGTTTAAATTTCGAGCCAGACCCGATGTGGTGACTCCGATGACATCGGCATCTGCCAGACAGCGAAGATCCACTTCGTCTCGAACGTTGTCGAAATTGGCTTTGGCTATATGGTGTGCCGAGCAGAGCTGCGTGACTTTATCATGCACCAGCTTAATGACTTCTTTCGTCCATATCTGGTACAGTTCCTTCCTTTCTTTTTGTGACAGTTGGAACGGATTTAGTGACATGAGCACGTCGAAAGGTCGTACCTCATCTCCTGGTCCCCCAGCCTGGACCCAATGCTTGATCGCATCACTAGGCTTGCCGTGCTGAACCCTCTCCCAACCGTCCTCGTCCTTACCAAACAGACCAGAATAATAGCGCGGATATAGTTCTTGAAGGTGAGGGATGAGATGAGTGGCTAACAAGTCCTGGTTGATCTTCAGGGTGGAGAACTTGTCCTCGCACGCCTCTATTTCGCAATGAAGGCGATATTGTTCTTGTCGCTCCCTCTTGGTTTTCTCGGCATCCTTTGCAATGTGTCGTAGATTGAGCGACCTCAGCTGGTCAGACTTAGACTGCGAACCGATCCGTACAATTTGGGACGTTACTCCTTTGTCGATGAGAGCTTCCAGCAACTGGTCCAGAGCATGGTTCGTATAAGTAACACATAACACAGGACCAAGGTTTGTCTTTCCTTGCTTCTTATTTGCTAGGAGGACTCGGATAAGCGCAACACCTGTGTAACTCTTACCCGTACCAGGAGGCCCTTGAATCAAGCCAATTCGGTGTTGGAGGCTATTGACCAAGGCCCTCGCCTGGGCCCTGTCGAGGGCTGAGTTGCGTTGTAAGTATTCTATATCAACCGGTTTATTGGCTTGGATGTATAGATCGGCCTTGTTATTCATCAAGCAACGAAGGTTAAAGCGAAATCCGGGCCTCAACGCATAGAGGGGGGGAGGAACGTCAACTGGGCCTACATCGCCGTTCGGGACCAGAATCTCTAGGAATGGTAGCTCCCTGTTCTCCTTGATCTTCTTCAGTGCTCGCAAGGTTGGTTCGAAGCCAGCCAGTAGGATGCCTGGGAATTCGATAACAGAAAAATCCCGTTTGTTCAGGACCTTGTTCAATATTGTGCGGACCATGCCGGGTTTCGTATCGACCAGCGTCATTTTGACTGACGCTTCCTTCGCATCTCCCCACAGGGATGCTGCATTCTCACTTTCCTTATTGGCATTGTCTGTTTGCTTTTTGGGAGATCTGACTTGCTCGTCCACGATGGTACAGAAGACAACCGTCCTTCCATTGCGTCCATTCATGATGAGACACACAAGAGCACCGGGTTGCAAACGCTTCGATAACTGCCACCAGTTTTCCCGATCCTTGGCCGACATCTCACTGACACGTGGCGGTTGAGGGAATTGAACCTTGAATTGGAAGCCAAGGAATTTGTCAAAGTAGATCTGTCCGATCTTCGCACGAGGATAGACGTGTGTCCGAACCTGGGAATTACGTCCGCCTGGTCCCTGTGATCCCTTGAGCTCCTGGTGGATAGCATCTCGCAGCTGACCGATCGTATCTTCCCTTAGTAGACGGAAATTTCGATCTAACAAACCGTCCAGACCACCCACATGCCACTGGGCAGGATCATTGACCGGTAGGTATTCGATACGCGAACTCTGTATCTCATCTAGGGTTGGCATGATAGCGATGTTCACAATATCGGTATGGTCGTTGTCATGTCTGCCACCGGGCGGTTCGCGATGTAACGTAAATGTTGCAGTAGACTTCGGTTCACATTTGAACTTATCGTTCGCAGGTGCAGATGGTAGGAAGCTGCCAATTTCCAATCGGCGTAGAAGGTGATCAAGAAGATTGCGCGAGTGGTGGAGAGAGCTCGCCAGGCCACCCTCGGTCATCTGGAGAAAAAGCTGCTGGAACCTGTTTGCTTGATCTTTGAGTGCATCTTGAACGAATGCGGTGGAGTTGAGATCGACGATTTTTGCAAACACGAGGAGTGAAATTTCCAACCAGTCCACGGCTGTTTCCTCCTTGCTGGTTTTTGATAGCACATCGCATATTGAGCTCAGGAACAGCGCTGCCCTGCGACCGTTGATACCATACAGCACGTTGAAAATAGTTCCCACTGCTTGCTCCAAGATCAGCGACGATAAAACCTTAGGGTGCGAGACGGTTTCCAGCAGAGGAAGGACCTGTGTCCGGAAGACTTCTTCCTTTGCCTTCGACTCAGCTGTGGGGAATTTATTCTCCACAAGATCTCGAATATGCTCCAAACCCGTCTCCTCAGCTAGTTCACGTATCACTCCTTGCATAAGACCAGCGTCAACTTCGATAAACTGTCGAGCATCTCGGAAGAAGTTATCCAACTTCGCGCGACCTGGTCGAGATGCACGAAAGTCTGTGGTTAGGGTATCCTTCCAGGATCGAAATTGTTTCTCTGAATCTGACAGTTCTGGTCTTTTGGGTCTCGCGTCTCGTTTTGGTCGATCGACATCTCGACTGCCAGGATCATTTACGTGTTGAAACTTGCAGTTTTTGAAGGAACACGTTCCCCTTCTGGCAAAGTCCCTGCAAATCCTGAAGGCCGTTAGTATCGTGTTCCCAGTATTGGACCGGTCCGAGCGACCTACTTCGGCCTTGCCATGTTTACGGTCGACGTGCCTCGCTAGGTAAAAGCCTCCAAGGGCACTGCTCGATGACTGAGATAGGAGCGCAAAATGAAGAAGTTCTGGGTGGTTAGCCTTGGATCTGTTAGATTGGAAGTCAAATCGTCTTTATGGGACGTAGCTATGAGAGCAGTGTGATAGGTAAAAGAAGGAAAACAAAAGCAAGATAGGGGCGGTAGAAAGTGAAAGGTGACGAGCTCAGTTTATAAATGCAGAGTACAACAGGTCTGATGTTCTAGGTTGAGGGGCGCCTTGCACTGCGGCAGCTGTGAGCACAAAGCATTATTTTAAGACATTCACAGCCAAAAGGCTGTCTTTCCAAACCATTCCTTGTGCTGGAACAAAGTCGGGAGCAGCATGTCTCCAGCCTCTTGCTATGAGCAGGCATTCTTGTATCATCATTGGATGAGCTGCGCCGCTGGAAGCTGTGCCGCTGGAAGCTGTGCCGCTGGAAGCTGTGCCGCTGGAAGCTGTGCCACTGGATTCTCTGACGCTGACGACCACTCATTTTACCCTCCACACTCACACCCTGTAGGTATGTATCACTTTATGTCGGATATCTGCCTTGGCAGTGATCGCGAGCTGCCTCACAACATTCCTTGGACTCAGCAGGTGGGTGAAGGGCTCCATCATCTAGCTGATCGGACGCTCAAAGGAATCGTCCCCAACCAGGAAGGTACTACTCCAAGTATAGCCCTCTGCCTGCTGGCGAATGCGGCCGGAGGCGTCTGCGAGGTTGATGATTGTGGAGGACACGTCTCTTGTGTCTTGTGTTTGAGGGAGAGGGAGAGGAAGAGGGAGAGGGAACTGGTGATATCCCTTTAGACCCTGTAATTCCATGGCTTACACTGATAAGAAATATAGAGTGAAACATTATAAGCCCTTGATAATAATCTGTAATGCTTAGTATAGTTAGTAGCCCTAGCAGCTAATCTTCTCATCTTTCTCCGCTGGCGAAAGGGCTGCTTACTAGCATAGATACTCTACCTATTCCCCTCAGGCTTTTTGGCGGGGACTTTTTTTGATGTAGCTTACTGGTATGTCGCCGGCCGTGCTAATAGGAGTCTTCTGGTGTGTATTATGATATATTGTCTATGCTAGTAGCTAGGGTGGTGGTTATGCGGCCTGTTTTCTAGAAGAGGTTAAGGGTAGGATTAGAAACGTGGGAGGAGGAGGTTTGTCTTTTCCCTTGTATCCTGTGGGATTTATAGCTGTGAGGAGGCCGATGGGGGTAGTTTATTGGGAAAATACTGGATGACGCAAGATTTGCGAAGCGAGTGTCGGGTGGTGCGCAGAGGGTTGTGAGGGGGAGTTATCTGGAGTCGTCTCAGCTGGTTGCTTTCTTTTCTTTTCGTTTACTGGGTATAGGCAACCTCTAACGGTAAGCAGTAATTGCAGCAGCATGTTCAATGCTCATGTTGCCGATTGCGCTGTCTCTAGAAGAATGGGAGATCAAATGATCTAATCGTCTGATAGGACATCATCTATATAACATCTGAGTACAGCCATGGTATCAGTTAGGAGGCGGATGCAACGAATACGGCGGCGGCGGGTCATCCTCCGGCGCACTTCTCCTCCTCGACCTGTCCTGCAGCGGAATCTGTGACCCCCAGTGGAACCCGGCGCGCGCTTTATAATTCCTGGCCATCGTCTGCTCATACCAGATGATCAACCCCACAATGATTATTCCGGCGATACTCACCCCAATTGCGATCCCCACCTTTGCGCGAGTGCTCAACCCTCGCCCGCTCGTGCTTGTCACTCCTGTCATTCCTGTCCCGTTGCAGGTGGAGTTGGAAGCCGGGGCTGCTCTCTGGATGGCGCGCTGGAAGGAACTGCAGTCAATGGGGTCCGTGGTGTTGATCGTGATGCGGCTGACCCCGGTGAGGGAGGGAAATCCGGCACTACAGCGATTGAGTTTTAGGTCAGGATGGTGTATGATAGCTCGTACCTTGTGATGTTTCCATTCAGCTGGATGGTCTCCGCGGAATATAAACTGGTGAAATTGACTTCTAGGTAGGATGAAGAGTTGACAGTGATGTTGCCCTGGATTGACTGTAGGGAGTCCAGAGAGATACTATCTTCTTAGCATACAGATATCGTGAAGGTGTGCCTATGATGGACATACTTGGATATTGCACCCTGGAGATCGAGCATATCGCCGACTGAGCGTAGCTTTGGTAGATCCAGATCTACAGTCGCACCGTAGTTATGAATCGAAACTCCCGATGGGCCAAGATATTCTCTTGTTTGGATGTTGGCCGTTTCGAGGACAGGCATCGAGAATCTAGCCACCGTCAGTTCGAGACGAGAGATGTATGCATATGCTGATGACGCACTCCGTAATCACTCCCGAGAACCGGATAAAAGTCGCATATTTCAGGGCAGGAAAGCTGAGCGGGAGTTGACCGTGGGCCTCATTATCGGAGTAATTCGTGGCGATGGTATCAGACCCCAGTATGCTGAGATTGCCATTGACTTGCTCCAAAGAGTCAAGTCTCACACTAAGCTGGTTAGTCCGGTGTCTGGTAGACACTGCAGGAACGGAATGAATACCTCGAGTAGTTCCCCGCCAGCGAGATACTCGTCGCTTGTTTCAACGACCGAAAGTCTACTGCGGCGGTCGAAAGTACGGCCAGATTGATCGTGCCGACGGCAGTCGCTTTGGGGGCAGATACCTCTATTATCTCTTGACTACTTGGGAGATGAACGTTAATGCCTCCCAGGTACAGCACGTCCGGCAGCGAGATCGACGTGAGTTCAAACGTCTCGGTAGGGGCGGTATAGGTAATGACTCCGTTAATACTGGTGACATTGGGGAGAGAGAGTGATCCGTTGAAGCTTCCCAGCAGAGTAATATCATCGCCAATTGTGGTGCAGTTATGCGTGGAGAACCAATTCAGGTCATCGGACGAGGCGAACTGAAATGCGGCAGGTGAGTTCTGGAGGCTGGGATCATGGCTGCGCTCGCAGGTTGTCGCAGCGGCAACTGATCATGTCAGACTTATAGGACTTATGGAGAGTGAGCAGCCTTACATGGCAATACAGAGACTATCAGTGCTATGACTGAACAAGGATGGAAATATGTCATCGTTTAGCATCAAACTGAGATGCGGAGAAGATAAGAACAATCTGGGGGAGAAGATGACCGGGCGGCCGGGGTCTGGGCATGATAAGTGTCTAGCTAGTTTTTAATAGGAATAGTGGCTTGAGTTGGGCGCTGTTGGATCCTGGCCAGCAGAGTTAGAGACAATCCTGCAGTGGCGGCTCGTCGTATGCCTTGGCGCCTCGAGAGGGGTAGATGAGTAGTAGACAAGCATCAGCCGGGTCGTCAGCCGGCTGAAGGCAATCTAAAGCCTTTTAAACTTTGAACTGATCAATTCAAATGCTGTAAAGTATTAGTTAATGAGGCTGTCTGATATTTCTCGGCTGAAGCCCTCGCACACGATAGTCGGATTGAACAGCCTATCAGTCATTGTTTGTAGAACTGTCAGTTCACGATCGGCTTGACTCGTCGCGTTGTCCAAGTCTAGAGTTATCGCCAAGGCACGAAATGTAAATAAGGTGTAAGTGCCGTTGGATATCCAGGGCGTCGTCAAACTCAATCCGATGGACACATCCGAAGTCGGAGATGTAAAGGTATAAAGGACAGAAGGTTGTCTACTTATCAGATTCAGGGTTCAGCATTTTCCTTCTGATCGAGTAATATGGTAACAGTATCGACCAAATGCATGGAACCCTTATATACATCGATTGTACCTCCACGCAACATCAAACTCGTGTATGCAAACCTCGTCCGAAAACCTATCAATAGCCGTTCACCAGGAGCTATCATGAGCAGCAGTAGGAGTGACATAAGACCCAGTAGCGGTGGTTCCACTGCATTGACTCGGGGCCGTATTAGTAGTCGGCGGTCTTATACACAGATGGACAGAAGTGTCTATGACCCAGCGACGGACATACTCAGTTTCATTACATGCAACAGGAAGCGTGCGACGAGCTGATCTCCCGGAGATGAATTGATTCGCCGACCTGATGATCGACAACCAGTTCGCAATGATTGGAGAACGGCTGATCTGGGGCTGCAGTTGACTTGTACAACAGCACACACTTGACAAAGACATCCGATCGAACAGATCATCCCGACAACTCTCCGAGCTTCTTATTGCTCATGAACGACTAAGAGACAGCCTCGGGAGTCTGTGACAGCCTCTGGAGCGTTCTACTATAGAACATTCGTTAGACTGAACCTGCAAGAGGGGCAGATTCGTATGCTCAGGACAATTAGGACCGTTTCGACAAGGTCCTGTTCCTCAGGCGTTGTTCATTGCAAAGCTCCTGGAGTACAGGATGAAAAGGCCGAAGAGCACGAGATTGCATTTTTGAGGTGCTTCTCACTTGTCATTGGCCTTGACAATCAGCACACTCCATATCATCAATTGGTCGTCCACCCGAGCCGGACGAGTTCCCCGTGCTGAAGCCCTAACTCTACTTCAGGCAATCAACGTTAAACTTTCAGCCAGAAGTACACAACTATCTCTATAACGGACAGTCTAAAGCGATAGAATTATCAATGATTATTCGACAGTCATGCAGTACTAGACTGCTATAAACGTTTGGAATGATTCACCCAGATATAGAGAAGCCATAGGCCTCAGGTTATTGTTTGCCACCAGACATTTACAGACCAAGAACAAATACCCCTATATAGAAGGTTGTTCTGAAAAGTTCTTAAGTTATAGATTATAGACGCAGTGCACATGCGAATAAGATGTCTTCAGAGGGAGATACTGCTCCACAGCCCTGGGTTATATACATAGGTAGCAGGGATACTCTTTGAAGCATACTCATTGCTGTGATATAACTCTGATGTGTCCTATAAGAGTCATTTGGAGAAAACGACTTCCAGTAATGCCTTCGTGGCGCTAGACTAAGGTATATTATCATTTCATACCTACAACTCGGACTGATCCTTGTTGTCCTCGCTTTTCAGAGCCCCATTCAATTCCCGTTTAGGCAAACACACGGGCAACAGATGAACCCCTGTTATGTGGCATCATCAACAAACCAGGACCTGGTGGTGCAGTGAGTTAGGCCCCCAACCCAGCTGCTCTACTGGGCCCTGGTTCGAGACTGGCCCTGGTCGCTTCTCTGGTATAAATTTACCGAAGAAGGAGCGGTTGGGGCTTGGGCGGATGAGAGAGGGGTCTGTACGGCTTCCTCTCTGATCCGTTTTATCTCTCCAAACGATTACGTCTTTCTCTATGCTAAGTTTTTTTGTTCCTGATCTAGTAGTTTACCATTCGGTTGTCTGCGTTCGTGGTATTGGATATTCTGTGGTTGAATTGATCAGAGAGGCAGCTCTCCTCTGCTGCAGCACTCTCACTCTCGAAATATGGCCTTTATAGTGAAATATTTTTGTCTCTACTCCTCAGAGTCCCATGCGATGTCTTGATCTCACCTCCGACTCAGTCTCCCGTCGTTCTCCTATCCACTTTGTCTGTTCCATCTGACACTTCTGCTTACCCTCCCTGATAACCTGCTCCTTGCCAACGTCATGCTTCATACGTGTCAGGCTGAGCATGCGCGTGCGATCCGTACTGTTATCTGCAGCGATACTTTCTCTGGTTCTGTGAGATGTCTGCAGAGTCCATGGCGCAAGAGCGGAACGAACATTGCGAACAGAGTGCCACGACGACGACGACCGTTTACCATGACAACGCTTGAACATCGACGTAACTCTACAGCACTAACCTTCGATGTCCATTATCAGGCGTACACGTCAGGGAGCGCTATGCTTACAATCATAACATCATGGAGGCGTCAACAATCTAGACCCGCAGTGCATTGGACGTTGCTGATACGCGTCCGCGCATATAGCAGTTACGATGGCATTCGGAAGCGTTTTTGTGGTTTGCGATAATGGCCTATTGAGACCGTGTTGACCCGAAATCCCAGAGTATATGGAACCGACGTGAGTGCTCTCATTACAGGAACCGACTTCTGCTCGAGGAGCGCTGTGTGAGCTCATGTATGTTTGCCTTGCTTGATGCCAGCAGGGATGTACATTCTAACAACAATATCTTCACCAGAAGGTAATTCAAATTGGTCTAGGTCTTGCTCCCGTGTAGACAAGGGAACACATTGTTTTTGGACTCTCAAAGCATGGACTGGGATTACTCCACGGAAGTGAAATTTCCTTTGATCATTGAATGACATTCCCTGTCTATCTCTGGCAATACAAGCCATTTGGCGGCCTTTCCAAATTCACGAGTTCTCATCTAATTATAACGAATTGGTCCCCCAGCGGCGACAGGATTCTAGAATGGACTTGTGATCTCCCCAAGATGAACAGGATGCGTCAAGAATAACTTCGCAACCAGGGCGACTGATTCGATCTCGAAAGGGAACAACTCGAATCAAAAAGCAATTGATCCACGTCGGCCGCAGAATCAAGTGTTGTCTCCTGCGGCGCCTTTGGTTCTCTGCACAATGTCAACCACTGCCGGTGTCGGACCTGTCGATCAGGCTGCTCACTCAAGCACTGACCTGGACCAACGTAAGCACAGCACATCCAGGCTAGCATTGCCCCGCATCAGACAATAAGCAGACAGAGGTACCCCTCTTCATATGACATTTATCACATAAATAGCTGGGTTGCAATGCTGACGGTTAGCTGAGACACCTAGAGATTGCTCTTGTTACTGACCGGATCTTGGTAAATCGTGATCAAAAATGACTGTCATCGACACCAATTCGGCTGCTGGGCTAGACGTCGCAGTCTTTGATTTTATCATTGTGGGAGGTGGCACGTCCGGCTTAGTCGTCGCCAACAGATTGACGGAAGATCCGAACACCCGCGTGCTTGTCCTGGAAGCAGGAACCAACCGTTTGACTGACCCGCGCATCTCGGTACCAGGACTGGCGCCTACGGCGTACGGAGATCCGGATTTGGACTGGGACTTTCGATCTATCCCTCAGGTACGCAGAAGTAGCAACGCTGACACTCCCACCGGCTGACATGATTTTTCGACAGGAACAACTCAATGGTCGTCAACTGCTCGCTACCAAAGGGCGTACCCTGGGAGGGTCCTCCGCGATCAACCTCGGCTTGGTCATCTACCCATCGCGGTCGGGGATGAATGCATGGGAGGCTGTGGGAAATCCAGGCTGGGGGTGGGATGGTATTGAACCGTACCTCCGCAAATTCCATCGGGCCAGTCCGCCGTCCGACGCAATTCGTGAATTCTTCATGGGGATGAAATACGACCAGGAAGATCAGGGCAGCAATGGACCAGTTCAGGTTTCTTTCGGAGACCAATACATGCCGTTCCACGGAGCGTGGATGGAGACTTTCAAAAATCTGGGGTATCCGCAGGTAGAAGATCCCATTCGAGGCGCAGGAACAGGACCGTTTGTCAGCCCTGGTGCGGTGGACCCTGTTACCCATACGCGCAGCCATGCGGGGTCTGCTTATTTTGGTGCAGATGTACAGCGTCGTCCGAACCTGCGAGTGGTGACGGGCGCGCTGGTGGAGAGGATTGTTCTGGAAGTCCGCGAAGCTTCTGTTGTCGCCACCGGGGTGCAATTCTACAAGGGGGAGCGAACGTACACGATCCCTGCGGCCAAGGAGGTTATCCTCGCGGCAGGAGCAACGCAGACTCCACAGATCCTAGAGCTCTCTGGCATTGGTAGCGCAGACCTCCTCCGCTCGCATGGCATCATTCCAATCATTGATAATCCAAACGTTGGTGAGAACCTTCAAGATCATGGAATAGTATGTTTCGGGTACGAAGTGGCAGACGGGATGCCCTCGGGCGACATGGCGAGAGACCCAGCAGTGGCTGCGGCTGCCATGGAAGCGTATCAGAAAGACGGCTCCGGACCATTGGGGATGGTCCCATTGGTGTCGGCATTTATGCCTTGCATGAACCTCTCCACGGCAGAACGTCACGAGTTACTCGCGACAATCGATGCGTCGATCGGCTCTGGTAATTTGCCGCGAGCGCAGCAGAAGCAGTACCCTATCCTTCGAAAGCTGCTGGAGGATCCCGGTGAACCCACAGCGCAGTATACCCTAGCCCCGTTCCAGATTCTGCCCCGCGAGGGCAGCAGTCCCAAGGGCCTTTTGTCAATGAGTCATCCAGGATGCTTCATCACCATTGTCTCCGTACTGAGCTACCCATTGTCTCGCGGTTCTGTACACCTCCAGTCCGCAGACACCAAAGCAGCGCCGGCCATCGACCATGGCATTCTGCGTCACCCCGCAGACCTCGAGCTCCATGCACGTCACAGTATTTGGATCGAGACATTGGCCGAAACCGAGCCAATGGCGTCGCTACTTAAGAAGAAAGGAGCGAGGTTGCACACACCCGAGCGACTGACAGACGTGGGGAAGGCCAAAGAACTGTGTAAGGAACTCGCACTGTCCATGTGGCACACCAGCGGGTCATGTGCAATGATGCCACGCGATGACGGTGGAGTGGTGGACCCGAAGCTTAAAGTATATGGCACGGCGAATGTGCGGGTGGTGGATGCCAGTGTGTTTCCACTGGAGCCCCGGGGGAATATCCAGGCCACGGTCTTTGCGGTGGCGGAGAAGGCGGCGGATATCATCAAGCAGGACACTCTCTAAGCTTTGTTACCGGGCTGGTGGTTATCGGAGTCATACCTGCTTTCGATTTGTCTTACAACTTTCTCAAACATGACATTGTGTGGGATGTTAGCGGGATTCAGAGTTTGTTAGTGACTGCGATATTTATAGCATCGAGTAGGGCCCGTTAGTTCTTTGGACGTGGCTTTGGTCTAGTAGTAGCTTTCCAGAGGATCTGACACCGAGACTAATACAGTAATAGACTGGAAACTGAGGATCCTACCAAAGACTGAATTCATTTATTGCTTGAGGATGTGATGTGACATTGAATGCATGCATGTTTATATTACTGCCTTAGGCCGCTAGGAAGACGCAGAGCAAAGACCTCGGCAGGTTGCATCTTTTACCTGTTTAATTTCTCTTAACTGCACTCTTCCCAACCACCTCACCGTTCTGATTCATCCACCAACGATGCATCCACACAGAGAAGAAAGGAATACGAGGCAAGATTCTATCTGCAGGGTCTTCCAAAGTCAAATTCTCCATTGATTTGAATATCAACGGTGATCCGGCTGACTTCTCCGGGGATACATGTCTTACAACCCCGCATCGCCATGAACATCACTGACACTAAATCATGACCAGGTTACATTGCCATTGGGAAGCCAAGTCGCTAGTTCGACGCTAGACCGCTAGACATGCTAGGAGTCTCCTACGCCAACGGTGATGGGTCAACCTCGCGAGGGGAAGCCATTTAAGAGACTAAGCGAAAAAGGCTAATCTAATTACCTTCTTCGCAACATAACCTGTTTCTAGGAAAGATTCTGAGTCAGGGCCTATCAGGAACAAGAGAACAACACCAACCTGACAACATCAGTGGACGCCTAAACAGTGGAGAAGCTGCTGGAATTTGAGTGTGTTCTGTCATCTGTCTACGCTTTGTTAGTGTTGGACTCGGACCAGGATGATGGACTATCACTCTGCGTGTCTCACTCGTCCCCGGATACTTTCTTGTTTTCCTGGCAGTGGCATCATCTATTACTCAATATGACATATGAGATTGACGGAAAGGAAAAGGTCTGAGAGAAACTCTGCATCCTAGCTTTGACTCTGTCCGTTGCTTATTGGATACAGTTGTACTGACAGACACCTGTCCAGTTATCCACCCCGTTGCCAGCACCAACCTCTTCATTCCAGCAATATATTGCACCCAATCAGACAATCCTCGACGGTCTTGCCACTGGGTTGATCTAATGAACGGTCCAACGTCGTAGTGCCTTAGCTCACATTCGATAATTTGGTCAGCCAGCTCCATGAGACAAGGCGTGTACTAACTTCGAAAGAGGATTTCCCTTGGCCGCTGGTCCGGGGTCTGCACCAATGTCTATGCACGAACTGGCATACCCCGGATCGGACGGAAATGAGTCTCATTATTGAAGTCAAAGCGAGGCAATCCTCTCGATGCGAGGTGATGACACATGTGACTTGACACCAGCCTCCAGGATGAGATTAAATAGTCCTGGAATGGTACCTCGAGGTATCTGTCTGGTTGATATTTCCTCACCTGCTGTAAGTCCGTCGCTCGTTACAGTAGTACTCGATCGTCTCTCGCTTGGCCTTTGTTTACACTCATCACAGTCGTTTATCATCTGATACTGTTTGGTTGCCTCAATGCGGTTCTCTGCGTTAACTTCCCTCCTCGCCTTGGGAGCCTTCACCGGCGTCCTCGCGACACCCACCAAGGTCTCCAGGGCACCCTCGCTGGTGGAGCGTGACTTTGCCGCGGTCACCAGTGTTGTCGCTGCCATTTCGTCCAAGGTCGATGCTCTGGATGCAAGCATCAAGGCCTACACTGGAGGCGATACGTCCGCCATTGTGGGCGCTTCTGCAGACCTTATCTCCACCATCAACGATGGCACTTCCACGGTTGCGGCCCAGCCAGCGCTGAGCCAAGCTGACGCTCTGAATCTGGTGAATCCCATCTTGGCTCTGACCAGCAAGGTCAAGACCACCATCAACGACCTCATCTCCAAGAAGAGTCTGATCGTCGAGGCCGGCGCGGGTCCTACCACCTATAACCAGTTGCTGGCCCAATACACGGCCTCCTCGAACTTGGCTACGACCCTGTCTAGCAAGGTGCCGGAGGCTCTTAAGCAAGTCGCTCAAGAGCTGTCCTCTGGAATCACCTCGGCCATCCAGACGGGTATCGATGCTTACAAGGATGTGGGCACCCCCCCGACCACTACTACTTCGCCGACTTCCACACCTCCTACGACTACCCCTACGACTACCTCTACGACTACCCCTACGACTACCCCTACTGAAACCTCCACTCCGTGCGAGACTACTACCACTACTACCACTACCACTACCCCTACCGTAACCTCCACTCCATGCGAGACTACCACCACTCCTACTGAGACCTCCACTCCGTGCGAGACTACCACCA